TATAGGTACTCTTAACCACATATGCCACTGTGCACTTCAAAAGCGGCTGGTCTACACTGAACTTCAAAGGTATTAGTCATTGTTTGCACAAAATATATATTGAAATAATATTTTTAAATATTGGGTTACATAAAATATATCATTAAAATTAATTTCACCAGTCTCTTTTGTTTTTTGTTTTGGTTTTTTGGTTTTTTAAGACAGGGTCTCATTATGTAGTTGAGACTGACCTGGAACTCACTATGTAGCCCAGGCTGGTCTGGACCTCACAGCGATCCTCCTGTCTCAGCCTCCTGAGTGCTGGGATTACAGGTGTGCACCACCACACCTGGCTGCCCATTCTATCCTTATGCATTTACCCAAAAGAAATGAAAGTATATGTCCATACAAAGAATGAATGAATATCATATCATATGTATTTGTGAAAGCTCAAACTGTAAAAGTGGAATTGTCCATGAACAGATGAATGGATAAATAGATGATGGGCACTGTTGCTCAGTGGAATATTACTGTTCAATAGAAGGAAAAGACTATTGAGTTGAGGCATGCAACAAATGGGTAAATCTCTAAATAATTATCTCACAGAAGCTAGCCAAAATGGTACTAGCCATATGACTGTAACTTTTACAAAATCAACCAACTTTTATAAAACATTTTTACTCAGAAAACAACTTTTTACAACAGACAAACAATGGAGCAAAGCCACAGCTGACCTGTAGCCATTCTGTAAGAAGAACAAGAAATAAAGATTTGCTGTTCGGAGAGGCTGAGACGTTGAGATTGCTTGTTACCAAGCAAGACTGATCGATACATAAAGTCTATTGTAGATTATAAAATCTCATAAGGCAGAGAATAGCAATGTGGAAAGTATAAAATATTGAACCCTTGAAAAGATCAAGAGCCCTCTGTGCTTTAGAGTCCACCTACATCATAGGATAGAGGCGGGCGTTGGGGACTTAGTGCTGGTGTTGAGAAATGGGTGAAGATTCTTCTAAAAGCCAGCACTGTTCAAGAAGGCAAAAAGTGAACTTTGGCAATGGGATTGTGGGATGATACACTGGGGTGAGGTATAAGGGTATAAGGTGTATATATCAAAGAAGGTAGGGAAGGAGTAATGCATACGTGTCTGTAGTCATGGCAGTTAGAAGATGAAGAGAGGAAATGCAGAGGAAGTCAGGTACATCCAGCTGAAAAGGGTGGAAAAGTGTTCCTCATCTCAGCCAGCCATGCTTTCTCTGAAAAATGACAGTGCTGTTACTTCTTCCTCACTGTTCCTGTCACCTCGTATTTTTTAGTCAGAAAGTGGGACATAGCACAATCTGGGTTTTGATGAATGTTTCTGTGGTCCCAGGTGCTCAAGGAAATGAGGCCCATGTTTCTGTCTCTCCCAGAGAAGAGATTCTGTTTAGGTTGTTTGGGTGCCTGGCTTTTTCCCCCTGATATATTGCCTCAAGTTTCCCTTTCTATTTTAACCCAGAACTTTTTAATTCTCAGATCTATTCTTTCCTCTTCTGTCTACATAATTTCTCCCAGGCCATATAGCACACCCTGAACTTTGTATACAGCACTTTTCTTTCTGAGAGAGTGGTTAATTTGATGTCAGCAACTCCAGACACTTCACTGAATATTGAGATGTAGGTGGCAAGAATTTAAATTTATACCTAATAACCAGCTTGGTTTCTTAAAAAATACTTTAAAGACTTTTTTTTTTCAAAAGAAAAACATGTATCTAATTATGCACAAGAGAAATTTGCTCAGAATTAATTCACTGGGAATTGAACTGAAAAAAAAGGTAAGGATGTTAATGATCCTTTAAAAAATAATTCCAATTAGAAACACTAATTATAGGGACGCCTTTATATAACACGAGACACAGTTCTCCAAGGCATGGGGAGGAGGGCCGACTATGAAGTCAACTTGCAGGAACAAAGTTTCTGATTTATGATGGAATGTGTGTGAATGGGAAATTAATTTCCTTTGAGGAGATAACTGCCCGGTTCTGGCAATGATTTGTCTGTTTCTGGAAAGATCACAGGTCATAGCATGGTGACCATTTAGTGCTAAGGTTTGAACTTAGGAAGGAAGGAAGGCAGGCAAATTCCCCTCTGATCCTAGCTGTCAGCTGGGGGCTTCCAGGAGAGGCAGCTGCACCAACGGCCTCTGCAGGGAACAGGAGCAAAGCAAATGATGGCAGTGACTTCTGTCTGAGCGGGAGGTGTCTCCAAACTTTTTCCTCCTCATACCTCACCCAGACTCGACGAGGACAGGCAAGGACCAGGATTAGAATGAGACAGCTGTGTTTTCTGACCCCTTATCAGCATTGTATTTACTATCAGCAGGCCAGAGAATGAAGTCAAGGTGCCCAATTGTGTTTTTCAAACCACGGGGCTGTGATGTAGTTTGGACTGTAAATGCTCTACAGAAGCCCATGTGTTAAAAATCTCTGGAATGGAGCTGTCGTGGGTGGAGCCTTTCAGTAATGGGATCCATTGGGAGGAAATTGGGTTATCGAGGGGTGTGACTTTGAAGGGGACAGAGGGGTCCCA